GTATGTCTATGTATGTCTGCATGTATGTACCTAACCACGTTTTTGAACCGGTGGGGACTCATCCTGGTCCCGACTCTTGGTGCCTCGGTAGGCAGTATGTGATTCTATTCTGCATTGCCTTGTCGGAAGGACTTGACTCCTGTCCCCTAAACCTAAACCCTAAACCCTAAACCCTAAACCCTGTAAACCCTTATACCGTACCCTTACACAGGCATATAGAGCCCATATATACTACCTTTACAAGGTACCTTTGCGCCCCTATCTAGTACCCATATATACCACTTTTACGTTGTATCCTTATATACCCTTAAATACTACTTTGAGTGGCTGCTGTCGGACGGTCGGCTTGTGCATCTCGCCTTTCTTCTTCCTCTGGATTTTTGAGTTGAGGCTTCATAAGATTTTGAGTTTTAGGGGTTTAGGGTTTTAAGCCGTAACTTCGGTTTAGACTTTGGGATTGAACATGCCAGGTGGTTCGCATTCAAGTCGGTGGTGGATATCCTCCGAAAGGCCGGAGACAGCGCCTTCTGCGCCTAGGCCAGGTTTTGGCACCTTGCACAGCATCCCGTAGCACGTGCACGATACCGACCCAACGTGGTCCCGAAGCTCCGAACATGTGTTGCACCCCACAGCCTTGCATTCCCTAAATCGCTTGAGAGCTGTCGCCTTTAAGCCAAAATGCTACTCCTTCCATCCTACATCATGCCCCGATAGCTGTTACCCCGAAGCGTATACAGTGGCCATCATCAAGAGACTTGCCGCGGGCTCCAGGCCCAAGTAGCTGTAGTCTCTGGAGATGAACTTGGTCAGCAACATGGCCTGCGGCCGTCTCTGCCCCAAGGAGCCAGACGGTCGTAGGATCATGTGTCAATCCTTCCGCAAGCATTAGCTACACCCTTGCCGTGGCCGGTGTCGTTTGCTCACAAAATGCGATGCAAGCGATAGGCTCTGCAATCTTTCCAAAGAGTCTCCATCCTACGGTCACATGGTGCTCCAGAACGCCAGGCACAATCGCAACCTTACATGCGAGACGCCAAAGCTTGAACCCAACACTAATACTACTGTGATGAAAACTGGGCGCTTGTTCTGTGGGCATCAGTTTTGCCTTTTCCTCCATGCGGCAGTCTGCTGCCCAATTTGCTCCGAAGCCTTCATGCGCGAGAGAGAAAATGCTCCCACATCCGGTTTGGGTCAGTTGGTGTTTGGGTTTTCGGCTTTAGGGTTTAGGGCTAGGGTCAGTCACAGGATTGTTAAGAGGTGCTGCAGAGGCCATATGCTCATAGTGTGATGTGATGGCATCACACGCCGCCGTGGGATTTTACAGGCTGAGCACACCTGCATAGAGCCTCCACATGTCATGTTGGTTATGCCGCCTTTCTTCTCATGCTAGTGTTTAACATGGAGAGCTTCTGGATGTACTTTCCGCGGAAGGCATTTGGTGGAGGTTGATGAATCCATAGAGGGTGACACAGAGTGTGTTTCAGTCGAGACGAACTCCAACTTGTTTGGAGGGATGCTTGAAGAATGACATTGCTGCTGAGCGTCCTTCAACCCTATGAGTTTCATGAATATAGGGGCCTCTGCAATTACCTATACATTTGTTTTTTTGGGGGGGGTCCTTGCTAATTGCAGTATAATGGTCCCCAAAACCCTATTCTAATTATTAAGGCCCCTACATGCTAGTGATAGCTTCGACAACACGTTCCTCAATGCTTCGTCAGGCAGGTCGTGAGCCTGCATTCACGATCTCGAGAATCCTCAACAAGCACTTTCGATTTCGCATTCAGAACTGAGGATCTGGGTTTTGCATCATAGGGGGCCCGATCACGTCTTCGCAACTGGCTGTCGTCCTACCGTGTCCCATGCAAAATCCATCACGTTTGAGCCCGATGCCCACAAGGCACCGAAACCTTACGTCGGACATCCCACAAACAATTCCCTATTCTTAACTCACGCCTTAAGACCCCATACCGTACACCCTAAGCCCAATTGTTCAATCTAAGCCCTTAAAACTCCAAACCGGAGACGACAAGAAGCTTAAACCCGACGGCGCTTCTTGAACTCCTCCTCATCGACTCTCCGACGGTTCACCGGTTCTGCAATACCATTCTTGATTACTTGATAGTACGTGTTTTTGGACCTGTGGCCCAATTTGCCTGGCCAGGCATTTCAACCACAGCTTCACAGCCACGCAAGCAAAAAGTCATGCTGCAGCGATTTGCTGCAATTGGGCTTTGGGGCTTGCGGCTTGGAGACTCTATGTAAGACTCACAATGTTGGTATCCATACGCGCAGTTGAAAGCCCGTATCAAAGTTGCTTCGTTCCTTGTAATTAAGTGTTTTCTGTTCAGGATGAAGGGCTTGAGCACAGGGCAGGATAGACACCCAGCGTGACAAGTTGCCCGGCCCGAAGATTTATGTACGCGATGTTGGGTCCTAGTGATTGTGCAACAACATGAAGGCAACGAAGAACACAGTTATATGATTCGTAGGGCTCGCCCGCTAGACTGCAAGCCGTGGCTTTGCAGAGGTCTTGAAGCTTCGAAGAACCCCACCGTAATTCCTTGACTGACAATCTCGTGACAGCATCTACATGAGAGCCTTGCTTTAGTTTTTTGTTGAAGCCGTTCCCCCTAAACAGCAGCCCTATAATATACCCTGGGCGCGCAAGCCACCACAATCTCGAAGAGCCGCAACCCCCGCTCCCAAAGATCCCGAGCCCTAAAACTCTGTAAGCAGTACTATAGGCCCTGAAAGCGCAAAAGCTCCATATCACCAGACCTATTGCCATGACCATGTTCATGATTCTTACCATAGGGGTCGCGACTATGAATATTGTTATTTGAGGTCTTCTGTTTCAGATTCCAGATTCCCCCACCAACTACCCCACCTTCTTCGAGCCCTTTGAAGGAGGCTCACAGCGCGTCGGCGGTTTTCCCAAGGGCACTTTCCGCTTCTCCAGCCATGGCCGCCGTCGTGCGCCGACTCGGGGCATCTTCACTGACCCAGCTCCCCTGCGTGGCTTAAGGGCTTTTGGTTTAATATCGGGGCCTTAAAAATTAGAACAGGGTTTTGCGGCCCATTATACTATACTTGTAATACGGAACCCCCAAAATGGTATAGGTAAGTACTTAGGCCCCTACATTGGGGTGTAGGGTACGGGTTTGCGGTTTGAGGACTACTTGGTTTAGGGTTGAGGGTTTAGTGAGGGGTTTCAAGTTTAGGGTTCAGGGTTTAGTAAGGGGTTTAAGGATGAGGGTTCAGGGATCGATACCCTGGGCCATTCACAGGGAAGTAAGGCTCGCTGACTTAACGAGTCTGTTTTGTGTCAGGTTTAACCCATCTTACTAACCCTAAAACCCTAAAACCCCGCACGCTGCACCTTCATAACCAAGTCAGAAGGGTGTCCAAGTAGCAGGTGCTGAAACCAACATCAGCAGACCACCGAACCACAGGTTTAGGACTCCAGGTTTGTAGAGTTTACTAAGCCCTAAACCCTAAACCCCTAAATTGGGGCTTAGGCACTGGGGTTTCAGGGTTGAGTGGTCAGGGTGGTCCCCACCCTCCCAGAGCCTGCCCACACACTTCAAGGTCGGGTTTAGGGTTTAGAGTTTACCCATAGGCCCCAAAGTAGTTCCTTTTTGGGGTTCATATATAGAATCCTATAAGGTAACCCCAAAAAGGAACTGCTATGGGGCCTATGGGTAGTTTAGGGGTGCAGCACTGGGATTTTTAGCGCAGGGATGGGGCCTCCGTAAGCTCAGACCTCCAGGCGATAGCACAAGTCATGATGCAATAAGGGTATCCCTACGTCAGGTAGCCTTGATAAGGCAAACCGCAAGCCGGAAGGCCGTTTTACATTTTTTGTCCGAGGAATCTTTTTTTACGTAATTTTGGTGGGAAGCGACCCCATGTATTATTTGCAAAAGTAGGTCACAATTAAAGTGCCCTACACCCTAAACCCTAAAGCCACCAGCTGCATGAAGGAAGCCGAGCCTGGCTCTTCGAGCCAGCAGCTTGCCTAGGCACTTCTCCTCTCTGCTTCCCGGCTTGAAAGTGTGTTGTAGGGTTTGGGGTTTAGGGTTAGGGTGTGTGCGGGGCGTTCTATGGTGGTAAAGGCTATGACGGCTATGATCGTCGTAGCATGGTTTTAGAAGGGTTTGACTCGCCTACTACAGGAGCTTCAGTTTCTGGTTCCCCAAACCGTACACCATATAGACGCTATAGACCCTATAGACCCTAAGCCTGAACTCTAAACCCTCATTCTTGAAGCCGTGCCTGCTTGTGGGAGTGTGCGACTCGAACCCTCATTCTGGCCGCGCCTCGTCAGGGCCACCGCCGACTAAGGCAGAGCAAGGTGGATGACTTCTGCAAACATGTGGACCTGCACCTTCCAAAGGATGGCAGCTTGGTACGGCTGATGGCCTTTAGGGTTTAGGGATTTAGGGTTTGGGGTTTAGGGATTCAGGGATTCAGGGTTTAGGGTTTAGAGTCTAAATCCCGCATTACCTTAAGGACCCTAAACTGTGGGAATTGTGGTATATACTTTATTATCAGTAATGCAGGATTTATATTCCTCAACCGTAGTGTTGGCAACAAACCCTTTCATTTGTTGGTTTAGGGTTTAGGGGTTTCGTAGGGCTTCATTGAGTTCGGTCTGTGGATGTCCGATGTCCAGCCCCTCGGGAACAGTTCCTGCTCAACTTCCCCCCCCCATTTACCCTTCGTGTAGGTACTTCTACGTCCGGCAAGTAGAGCTACATGAGATCGCAGCAAGTAGTTCCGAACAACATATTGGCGTCAGAAGACCCTGCAATGCCCAGGGAGCCGCACACCCGCTAATGGAGGAATGCTGGTTGTAGGACACAGAGAAGCCGAGCAGCCCCGTATCCGTAGACTCGACTTCAAGGCTTATATTCCTTAGCCAAGGGCTCTTGTGCTCCTCACGGAGTTCCAGGTTTAAGGTGCAGAGTTCAGGCATAGGGCTGGGTATGACTCAGGAAAGAAGGTGGTCTTCGCAACAGCCTGGCTTGCCACTGACAACGTGTTCGTCGCACTCATGCGGAAGCACTTCCCTGAATCCCGGAAGAACCCCTGAGTCGGTGAAAGGGCGAGTCGCATATCAAAGGGGTTCAGGCAGTTCCAATCAAAGGGGTGGGGACGGAGATTCTGCTATGAAGAAATATTGGCATTGCTTTTCGAGGTTAGCTTTTGGCATGGTCGATGTTGCTGCCTTTCTTGGGAAACTTAGCATCCTGGTCTTGAGTGATATGCTAGACCTCCTGTCGTTGCAACAGGACCAGTGTTTATAGTAGAAGCCCAAAGTTGGAAACCCACTAGCCTCAATCCATAAGAGTATAGCAATAGGGAATCCCAACACTCTTTGTCCTTAATCCCGTTTCCAGCATTGTCGTTTTGCTCTGATAGACCCTGCATCGTAGGTTCGTCCTAGCCAGGCGGGAGGCAACAACAAATCCTGTTTCCAGCTTTTCTGTGGTTTAATACAGTGAAAGAAGCATTTGCTTGCATGCAGTTGCCTTGGCCCCGATAAGCTACGGTTCGGTCATACCCGCAGGGAAGAGGCCTATGGACTATTCGACCCGACATGCTCGAGACGGTGTTGTGGGATGAAGTCTACCAAACACACGACCCAACAGCGAGAAGTCAAACCTGAAAAACCTGGAGCTTGAGTCTCCACATAAGGGACACCGTTGAGAGTGGCAAGACTCTGCATTAAAGCACAGTGAGCTCACATAGAACATAATAATATGGGGCCTAAATTTGCCTAAATATTTACCTATACTATTTTGCGGTTCCTTATTGTAATTATACCATACTGGACCCCCAAAACCCTATTCTAATTATTAAAGCCCCTACATTAACCAAACCCGAGGAGGTTTTGACTGGGATGAATCTCGTTGCCATTGACACCTTGCACCTCTTCCCGACGACTCTCGAATGTGCCAAGCTGGTTGAGGAGAAGTATGCCAAGAAGGCACAATCCTCACACCGACCCAACACTGGGACTTTATTCTCGACCTTGTTGTTGTGGCCAGTAAATGCCGCAGTCTTGATGATGGGGTCGACTACCCGTCGTCAGCCTGATATTCATATCTGCTTCTGTCTGATTGCTGTTTTTTGAATGCTTCCCGTATCTGATAAAAGTTGGTGGGTGCCTGCGTCTTCGGTCTCTGCAGGGACTTAGGATGCGGCTTCCTTGAGCTTGATGTGCCGTGCAGGCAATGTGGAAGATGCCGAAGGGGATCACGACGAAGGACCCCGAGCCCCAACCCTCCCCTAAACCCTAAGCCCTAAACCGCTCTTTAACACAGAAGAGAACTACCCCCCTGAACCCGTACCCCCTAGATCCTAAACGCTTCACAAAAGTTTAAGGCAGCATATAAGACTCCGACAGTTTGTCCCTGCGTATATGTATGTGTGCATGATAATATCCGTGTTGAAAACAGACAATATCTATTGTGGATCTACGACGGAATCTACGAGTGCTGAGGCTTCGAGGTGAGGTGAACGTGAGGACATGTGAACTGCCGCCCCTCCTGAAGAAAAAGCGGCAGAGAAGGCATATACATCCTAAGCCCTACGGATCTCTGGTAGTGAACAAGATGTAGCGAGTCGACGTACCGAGAGACCTCGTCTGGCGGAGTAGGAGTTGCGAGAGTGGGAGCTAGGATTAGGGGAACCCTTGGGGATATAGACCCTCTCAATAAGGTCCCTTTTAAGAGAGCCAAAAGCAGGGTTCAGAAGGGGTACCCTTTCAGGGGTACCCCCAATAATACTACCTGGAGAGCGTAAGCCCTAAACCCTCGGCAGAGGACGAGTTCATTGCCAAGTACGGCGACTGCGAGGAGCTGGACTCTGCCGACTTCGACTTTGTGAGCAAGGTCTAGCGGGCTATTTAAGTTCGAGGGTTTCTCTGTGCTTGCATACGAGGTTTTGAAGATTGCGTGATATAACTATGCTCGGAGTGCAGCTGAAAGGAATTCTGGTCATAGCGGCTCTACGCGTCGAGTAGGACCTGGACTGAGGGTCTCGGATCCCCGACTTGGGGTCTTGAAGTTTGCATCGCCCAGACCTTTCCCAAAGGGTCTAAGTACCGACACAGCAGATATGTTGGGCCCCAAAGTATCTACCATATAAGTACTTAGACCCTTTGGGTTTTGCGGGTAATTCAGGGGGGTCGGGGGGATTATGCATGATCACGGTTTACCATCAACTCCGAAACCATGGACTCTGTAAAGGCAGTCCCGGAAAATTCTACGAGTTGTTTGAAACTGCAGGAGGACCGTGGCAGGTAATATAGAGGCCGAAATAATTACCAATAGTATCCCCTAGGGTTCCTTATTATAATTATACTATAAAGGAGCCCAAACCCAATTCTAATTATTAAGGCCCCTACATTAACGGAAAAACAAAAGAAGAGACCGCCCAGGTGGAGCCTTTCCAGCGTGCTTTGGAGGAGCGCTTGCTATCTCTCCCGTCTCAGTCGGCTTAGGGGTTAAAAAGGAGTTATAGGATTTATAGGGTGTAGATACAGGGTGTATGAGGGGTCTTGGGAAAGCGCCTATAGGGCTTAGGTACACGGTTTTGGGCTAGGGCTGTCAGATGGAGCGTCATTGGTTCCTTGCCTGCTGCCTTTGCGCTCTCGTGAGGAGTGTGAGAAAGACATCTTGATCACGGGCCGCCGCATGGACCAAGCGGCACAGCGCATCAAGCTGGATGTTTGGGAGGATCAGAAGCGCACCTGGACACGTCAGGGGGAAGTCTCTAATTATAAGGTCAGGCTAAGGGCCGCAGCTGTGCGATTTCAAACGTAGCTTGAATGTTTCATGGTATGTTGAAAGACAGGGATTTTGTTTGCAAGGTTTCGTGGAATTCTTGCCGTGGTTGCCCGGCCCTGCCCCGCTGGTGGTCAAGCGGGCAATGCAGAGCATCGAGAATGCCTAAATCTCTGGTTGTAAACCCGCGGCCTTGAACCCTAGAGCCCTCACTAAACCGGTGATGGCGTTTAGGGTTTAGGGAACCGTAAACCCTAAACCCTGTGATTTTGCCAGGCTTTGTCCGAGTGTGAGTGTCAAAAACCAAGAAAATCTACAAACCCTAACCTAAACTACCTAAACCCTAAAACCCTAAGCCGTTCTTGTCCCAGGCACGCTGAACCCCATGGCAAACTTCAGTTGGCAGGACATCATCGACTACGTAGACAAGGACTTTGCAGCTGAGGGGTTTAGGGTTTAGGGTTTAGGGTTTTGGGTTTTGGGGTTGAAGGTCAGGGTTTCAGGTTTAGCGGCTTCGGGCATGCCTGGGAGAGACAGAGGGTTTAGGGTTAAACGGCTTTCTCTTACAATACAAGAATCCGGAATGGTGTCGGCTTGTCTTCTGGATTCTGGATATGGGAGAAGTTCAAAGCCGAGTCAAAGCTGAATCTGAGAGTTTATGAACTTCCCAAAGTCGTCGCCCAAACCCTACCACGAGGGTGCGCCGCCCTAAACCCTAAACCAGGAGGGTGTGCCAGTGAACGCTGGCCACAACTGGGCCTTCCGCTGCGACGCGCCTATCGAGGCCACCAGCCGCCACCTCCCGGACCTTCCCTGGACCAAGGTGGGCAAGTTATAGGGTTTACAGTTTAGGGGTTCAGGGTGTAGGGTTTAGGGTCAGGTTTAGCTTGGTGACCGGGGTTCAGAGGATGTAATCGCTTCGAAAGATGTCTTGCAGTTTCAATATTACGTCGGAACGCTTTTGTGGAGACTTAAAGCCATGCGAACTGCAGCGTTTGCTTAGCCTACAGCTGAAGCTCGATACTCATGTTATGTTTTCTGGAGTTTAGGGAGTAGGGTTCAGGAGGGCTTGGGATTGCCACCGGACAATGGCTTGGCTTTTACCTGTGTTCCCAAGTATTCTAGGACATTTTCAGGTGGGTAGTTACCGTTATAGGAGCCTTGTAGAAGGTCTACATACCTGATAGAAGCCTTATAGAAGCCCTATATACCCTAAACTGCCTACCCGTAGTTTCCTGTAAAGTATCGCCAACATCTAGTTGCAAGCTGAATGTTTCAAGATCCTTCGCCCCGACATTTCTAAGCCGCTAGGACGTATACACTGCGCACAGCATCCCGCACTACCCACTGCATACTTAAGCCTTCGGAAATGAAGTAGTAGTCCATATCTCCCAGAGGTTTCCTCGAGTTTGTCGTATTAATCGTACGTAACCCTAAACCCGTAGACCCAAAAACCCTAAACCAAATGTAATGAGGCCTGTCGGAGGCTGGGTCGTTGGTTCAAAGGTCTTAAAAGGCATATACCCGGGTCTTAGAGGGAGATGGAAAGTTTCTCTATACTGCTGGATTCTACGACTTTACTGGTTGCTCTGTTGCTTATTGTAGTCTTAGACCTAAGAACCTCCATGCCGATTGTTTCAGTAAGGAGGTATGCACCAGTAAGGTATATGAGACCCATTTACAAGGTACTTTGGGGGGTGATGGTAGGTTTTTTCCGTTTCTCCCCAACTGCACAGACCTTCAGAACTCCAGCACGTGAGCGCCGAAAGCCCAAAGCTTGCACTGCCCTAAATCCCGAAACAATGTCCACTAACATCATCGGCGCCGGATGACAGCCGACTCTGGTTCTCGGCAGGATGATAACCTGTATTTTGGATGGTCTATCGAGAAAGCTCCAATGTGGGTTTCGCCTCCAACCGATTGCGCACCAAGAACCTCGCCTGACATGCCCGAGAGTATGTGCCGACACCCTGAACTTTGCTTTGAACTGCAAGACCCTGAACCCTAAACCCCTAAACCCTAAACCCATTAGCGGCAGCATGATCCTTCCAGGTTGACCTTGGGAAGCCTTTTTGGCGATGCACGGATGCGGAGATCAAGGGAAGCCCTGCAGCCCCGATCACCTACGTTTTCAAGTCCTTCGGTGACATGCCGCTTAGCCCTGTAATCCCAGCAGCTATGGGGTTGTTTAGAGTTCTAGGGAGTAGTGGTGTCTGTGAGAGAGGGAGCGGGCTTTCGGGGGTTCAGGGATTTCGGGTTTGTCGTTTGCAGACTCGATGGTCTGCGCTAAGCCCTCTTTGGTTCTCAGCAGAGGCTCTTGCAGGCTGGATGCAAAAAAGGGTTTGTAGTGCTTTAGAGGCTTCCATTGTTATAGAGATGTTCCTTCCTTTTCAGAATGTCGAGACGAGTTGCTTGCTAGGTCCAGAAGTTAAGCAAATCCTAACCTCTTGCTGGGATACTTCTTGTTTAACCTCTACTAGAAAGGGTTAAACCTTGAACCCTAAACCCTAAACCGTGGACTGAACACCTGCAGTTTAGCGCTTCCTTGCTCTATGTCCAAATCATTGCTTCCTATGAGCCCGGTAACCTACCATATGGTACTTGGAGGTTCATGGGTAGTTATATAAGTAGGGTTCTCAGTAGGGTAACTATAGTTATAGCCTAGATTGGGGAACTTATAACTCCACTTATACCTACCCATGAACCTCCAACTAGGACATGCGCAACCCCTTCCAACCCCTAAACTCTGCATCACAAAACCCCTTAAACCCAAAGCCCCTAAACCCTAAACGCCTAAACCCTCGTCCCAATAAATCCCCAACACCCCTCAAGACCCTACATCCTTATAGATCCCCTGTACGGATCCCTTGATGTAAGGATCCCTTTAAGGATCCCCTCACGACCTGAAGCCCAGGCACACCACCGTGCCCGTTGAGCCCCATGAGTCCGAGCGCGCCGGCCGTTTCGTGCGCCAGGCGACGAGTTCGCTTCAGGTTGTGGGTTTAGGGTTTAGGGTCTAGGGTTTGGGGTTCAGGGTTTAGGGTTCAGGATTTAGGGTGCAGGGTTCGGGGTTTAGTGGGTTTCGGGTTGAAAAGGGGGTTAGGGTTGTGGGGCTTCAGGGTTCTAAATGGGTGTAGGCTTGTGAGGTTTCGGGCTTAGGGGGTGAGGCTTTTGGGTTGTCGGGGATCTTTGGGGCTTGAGACTCCTGGTTTCGGGTTTAGGGTTTAGGGCAAAAGGGTTCAGGGGTTTAGGGCTTAGGGCCTGTATTTGCATTTTGGGGGAGTTGAAAGAAAGGTTCAAGCTCTTAGGGCTTGAGGGCTGAAAGGTTTAGCGGCTTAGGGTTTAGGGCTTAGGGCTTGAGTGTTAAATGATTCTGCGTTGGATTTGCAAGGCTTATTCTACCGTGCTGTCAGGGTGATGCTTCAGGGTTCTAGCAGGTTTTTCCAGAAGGGTCCCATAAGTTATCTATGGGTATTCGTAGTTTTAGTGTTCAGGGTGTCGGGATTTCAAGGTCTAGGGTTGAGTACTGACGTTCTATCGAATACTGTGACTATTGACTGACTAGTTCTTCGAGCTTTCGCAACTGTGTCTATCGAATTTCGCAACTGGGATTTCAGAAAGTTGCGCCAAAAGGATTGGAGTCTCGAGGGTTTTGTTGGGGGGGGGGAGGTTTTTGCGAGGGTTGAGGAAGCTTCCATCCTGCTAAGCTCTGACCCTCGGAAGGTTGCTGCGAGGTTCCCCAAAGGGTCCAAGTACCTAATAATCATGTACTCTTCTGAATACTAACCTACAAAACTACTATCCGTAACCCAAGTACATGATTATTAGGTCCTTTGGACCCTTAGGGTTCTGTTCAACTCAGGAAAAGGGTTTCTACTGTTGAGCGTGGTCATCCGTATCGGAAAGCCGGTTTTGTTGTCCATATCGTGCGGTGCGGTAGGGCTGTCGAAGTGTTTCGAGCTCTTCTTACATGCCCTGATACAGACCCTACAAGCCGTGATCGTACCTTAAACCCTTATTTTAACGAAACTTACAAAGAAACCCAGAGCCCGATTTTTCCTTAAGCCCCTATTTAACAGAAACCCACCAAGAAACCCCTATAAGCCCCATTAGATTCCCTAAGCCCAATATTAACCCTACTAGAAGCCTGACTATATAACTAAACCCTGTAGGGTTATAAGTAAGACAACTATAGTTATAACTCATATATTAGGGGACTTACCCCACCTATAACTACCCATGACCTCCAAGTACGCCCTATCGTAAAGCCTCTGAGCCCTATAGACCCTGTTGTGCGAGGCGAAGACGGAGTGCGGCATCCACACGCGAACCACCTTCGCTGGCGCCCCTCACGGCGGTTCCCTCGTTGACTTGATGGTCAAGGACTCCGAGTTCGAGGTTTCCGGAGGTGTTGGGTTTAGGCTTTGAAAGGGGTTTAAGGTTTAGGGTTTAGGGTTTGCCAACAAAAGGGAGGGTGATGCGTGTTGTGGTGATAGTCAGGCGAGGGCACAAATATTGATGCAAAACAGGGGAGGGTGAATATTTAGGATTCCCCGAAGAGTCCGTGGGCTGAGGGCTAGTAGGGTTTACCACATTGGGCCGCGTCCCTAGCCATACTGCTCTCTGTCTGACTTTAGACTGCAAAACCTGAGCCTTTAGTTGTAGATACCTAGCTTGTGCCATGCGGGAGCCAAAAAATACCTAGCTTGTAGCCTTACTTACGAAGTCCTCTGATGATTTAAGTGGCTGAAACCCTAAACCCCAAACCCTAAATCCTAAACCCTAACCCTAAACCCTAAACCCTAGACCCTAAACCCTAAGTGGCGAAAACCCTAAACCCTAAACCCCAAACTTCAAGAAGAGGATCCGGCAAATATCCAGAGCCTCACCGCCAGCACCGTGAAAGCCATCGAATTGAACGAGCGCCAGGTCGGGGCGGCGAGCTTTTCCAGAGACCCGGAAATCTCGGGCTTAGGGCTTAGGGTTTAGGGTTTATAGAGACCGTTCAAGCCTGGTGGGGCTTTAGGGGGTTCAGGGCTTAGGGCTTAGAGACCGTTTAGCGCCAAGCCCGGTGGGGCTTCATCGGGTCTTAGGAGCGGTGTTTATAGGCGATTTTTGTGTTTCCGAGGAATGTCTCAGGTTTGTTCGAGAATCACTAAATCCTAAACCCACCCTAAACCATAAACCCTAAACCCTAAACCCTAAAGAGGGAAACCTTAGTTGGTGAGCCCAGACTTGCAGCCAGCGGTGCTGCAGGCCTGCGACGTCTTCTGCCTGCTCTCTGGTGCATTCTCCCCTCTTACCGGCTTCTTGGGCTGTTCTTATTAGGGGTTTAGGGTCTAGGGTTTGGGGTTCAGGGTATAGGATTTAGGGTATCGGGTTTAGGCTTTAGGGTTTAGGGTTTAGGGTGTCTTACTTCAGGGCTATGGGGCTGGAGGTCTAAATAAAATTCTTCTGTGCCTGTGATCTTGGGTGATCATAAACAGGCCACCTGCACCTTAACTACTGCCTTGGGCTTGAGGTTCTTCTGATTGACGAGGAGAAAGATTACGATACTAAGCCGTTTCGGGTGGCCTGGGCTTGTTATATCCAAGAAAACAGTCGAACCCAGGGAGCCCGATACCCCCTTTCTTATACCAAACATCTTGACTGATGGTCAAGCTCTTCCGCCGTAGGGTATCTTAAAGGGGTATTGGGCTCTTGAAGTTTTCCTTCAAAGCGGAGCTTGCACAGAGAGTACTAGTACTCCTTACGGCTCCCGAATAGATTTGTAGAACCAACCCCACCCCACCACCTAACGAAAGCGCCAGCCTAGTCTAACGATTCAGGCTCTTTATGAGCCCGAGACTCCCTCAAAGCTTGACTCCTCAGTGGGTTTAGGGGGCAGCTCTTGAGTCTTAAGCCCAAAGCCCCAAAACTCTCTCCAAGAGGAGATTTGTGAGCTAGGCTTCATGGAAGAGACTGCCTACAACTCGGTGGTGAAGGACCTCAAGAATCAAAAGGGTCACCCAGAAGGTGTTTTTTCTCAATTCGGGTGTACCCCCTGCTTTTGCCGAGCGCGTTCCGAGTGTTCGTCAAGAAAAGTTCGTGCGGTGGGTGTACAGCGCTTGTCGGGTTTATGCTTAGCTACAGGGTTTATTAGGTGTATATAGGGCGCATGGGTCTTCAAGGTTTGTAGGTTCCGGGCGATGTGAAAGCGGCTGGTTTTATAGGCCTCTTCGTTGCACACGCTCCTCTGGCTCCAGCCACCTGTGGGTTTTTTATCGTTTATAGCTATAGGGTGGCTTACGACTTAGTGATTCCTGCCTCACCAGCTGCTTTAAACTACCAAACCCTACTCTATTGTAGGTTCTTATTATAAACCATGATAGGGAATTTATAGGGACCCTACCAAAAAAGCAGGTTTTGGTAGGTTAAGGTACTATTATGAATGTTTTGTCCACAGAAGGCCGAAAACCCCGAGCCTCGACACCGCAAGTCGACCTAAGCCTGGGTTCGCTCCAAACTCACATCCCCAAACCACGAAAGCTCCACAACCCTAGCGCACCCAAATCGCAGAACTACGCCCAGACACCAACAAAGCAACATGTGTATCCCTTGAAGCTCTACATGCCCAAAGTCCTTAGACCTACCCAACCAAAAGCCTTCCAAGGCCCACAACACCCAAAAATCAAGACCCTCAAAGGCCCAAAACAGAACTAAAGCCTTGTCCTTGAACCTTCAAAATCCCCCCCCAAATACCCAAATACCCTAAGCTAAGCCTTTGCCCCCTCAAAGCCTGCTAAACCCTGAGCCGGATCCTTTCAAAGCCGTGACAGGACATGCGCCTGCCCGAGAAGCAGCTCTTTGGCTTGCCTGTGACCTTGGACCTTCCAGAGGCCTGGCAACGAACCTGACAGAAGGTGCATGTTGATGGGTGGTTCTCTATTAGGGCCCCTGTTCGGCACTTTCTATAAGGGTACTCTAGTAGGGACCTACCCTAATTAGAGAACCACCCTGATGGAGGTTGATAGGCTTCTTTTGGTGTTTAGCTTACAGCTTGTATGCGTTTCTGGAGTCCAGAGAGCTTTAAGGCTGAAGCATAGGGATCCAACATAGTACAGTTGCAGATAACAAAAGCACGAAAGCTTAAGGGTAACAGGCAGAGCTCGACACCAGAAAGTAGCGGAACTATAAACACATAGACATGTCACCATAAATATGCTAAGCATATCTTATTTTGCGTATGCATATGCTTACAGTCACACGGGTAATTGCCAGCAACTATAAATATAGACATACAGACCGATACAAATGTAAACTGTTGAAAGAAATCGACCTTTGTAGAATTCTGACCTTAAATGCCAATATCTGCATATGCCCACACAAACAAACCCACATGCATACGTTACATACCTACATACATACATACATACATACATACATACATACATACATACATACTTACTTACTTTCATATGTACATATACATACGTACGTACGTACGTACG